TATTTCGACCGACTTATTCATGGGAGGAATTATAGCAAACATAACGGAGATTTTCAAAACAGACTAGATGTGAGGAATTATAGCAAACATAACGGAGATTTTCAAAACAGACTTATAGATGCAGTTCTAATAGCAGTCACACAAATGAATTGGTGTCAGTGGCGTAGCGAGGTCCGGTGTTACCCGGTGCGGCGCAACCAATGGTGCCACCCCCTCAGAGGTGCAGCGACTCTTCAACAGCTTTCAATTTTCGATTTGCACCCCCCCCCCCCTCGAACCTTCGACTTGCACCCCCCCCCTCGAACTTTCGATCTGCACCCCCCATCGAACTCTCGATTTGCACCTCCCCCCAAACCTTCGATTTGCACCCCCTCAAATTTTTCTCTATATATTTTACTATTTTTGCCTTGGTGTCACCCCCCTAAATGGTGTCACCCGGTGCGATCCGCACCCCCCCCCCCCCCCCGCCCCCCCCCCCCCCCCCCTCGGTTCGCCTCTGAGTGGTGTAACGGTTTTACTTTTTAATAAAAACTAAGCATTTTTAATTGATTTTTTAAATCTCGAACAAGCCCGAAATGAGTATTCTATGTATCATATTTTCGTATATATATATATATATATATATATATATATATATATATATATATATATATATATATATATATATATATATATATATATATATATATATGGGGCCCAACAATTTTCTTTGCGGGGCGGCCCTTTTTTTCTAGTTCCGCCACTGGTGTCTTCCTTAACATTAGTAAAGTTATCCAATAGATACTAAAGTGACCCACGCTTTTCTTTATAGTTATTTAAATAGTAGTCTATAATTTATTTTCTACTTTTTAGTGCATTATTACATATAAGCTTGTTATTTAAACGTTTGTCTGTCTGTCTGTCGTCAGTCTGTCTAGACCGAAACGCCGGAGTGAAAATTCGGACACTTCCACTTCACCTATACGATTCACACTTGGTACTTGGGTCAAGACATGAAGACAATGCAATCTGAAATTAAATTTGACTTAATTGGATGCCTAATTAATTTTTTATGAATTAATTAAAATTTGGACCGAATTAGTAGGCATGTCTATCCAACCACACGACACGCGTCATCACGTTCAATAGCTGCGCCATCACGTTCAATGGCTGCGCCATCACGTTCAGTAGGCGCTCAATGGTTTTTAGTCATGTAACTTTTTTGTAAATAAAACATGTAAAGTACTGAAAAATATTCATCAAAAACTTTTAATAACAAGCTTTTATGTAATAATGCACTAAAAAGTAGAAAATAAATTATAGACTACTATTTAAATAACTATAAAGAAAAGTGTGGCTGTCTTCCTTAACATTAGTAAAGGTATCCAATAGATACTAAAGTGACCCACGCTTTTCTTTATAGTTATTTAAATAGTAGTCTATAATTTATTTTCTACTTTTTAGTGCACTATTACATAAAAGCTTGTTATTAAAACGTTTTTTATGAATTTTTTAAAAGTTTAAGTAAAAAAAAATCATGTCTATATTCCGAGTTGCCATCCCACGTAGTGTTATATTAGAATATTCGAGAAAGTTTAGGGGAGATCACTCCCGGTTTATTTTTTATTTTTTTGCACTATTACAAGACTTTCTCTATACTTGGTTATATACGAGAAAGTAAAAATTCATTAAAAATCTAGCCAATATCCCGAGTTGCCATCCCCCGTAGTGTTATATAAGTATATTCGAGAAAGTTTATGGAAGATCACCCCCACTTTATTTTAGAAGCGTTGCTTATTGTGGGCGTGTGTTAGAGGCAAGTATTGGAAAAATTATATTTTACACGCTAATTGTACAATACATAAGCATAGACATGATGTCGACACCAATCTCTTTCATCATGAGTTGCGCACCAACTCTGTTCATCAATGCAGTTCTTGACTTTAAGTGTAAAAACATGAAACGGTAAAGGCACAAGAAAATTCACTCGGCAATTTGAGCAATGCATAGATCTACATGCTGATAGTCAGGTAATCATTGATTTCATTAGCCCACAATTAGTACTAAACCTGTGTTTTAATTGCACAATATAAATCACGGGTTGGCATTGGTATGTAATCAAGAAAGGAGCCTTTGTTTTTCTAAAAGCTGTTATTTAACTTACTTTCTCTGTCATTGGTTAGTGCTTTGTGCTAAATGCTTCGTCTTAGGTCGAAACGGGCGAGCAATATTTTGACCACTTCGGATCATCGACCAATGTCTTTCAAACTTGGCACATGGGTCAAGATTCGATGACAACGCAGCGTGACGGCAAAACGACTTAATTAGATGTTTTATTAATGTTAAGATGTAATTAAAATTATTCTTTGTCCTATTTAAAGAACTATATTCCGCGCTATTATACTCACATTGTGTTCATTTAGTGTGCAATCGTTCATAAAAAAAAAACAATAAAACACTGTTTAATGGCTGTCTTTTACGATGTTATGCACTAAAGAAAAGAAAATAGATTATTTTCTTTAAATATATAATGTTGGACGGATAATTAAACAAATATATTATCTAATGAATATCTTAACTACAATTTAAAAAACAACCTACGCTTTTCTTTAGGTATATTAAAATAATGGTGCATTATTATTTTTTTTTATTATTGTTTATTAGCAGCACCCCCTTCTACACACTCACACACAAGTACATTCATATGCATCGTTTTTTTTTAAATACCAGATTAACTTCAATTTCGTTGTTTGATTTTTTTGAGTAGGCCCTACTAAACACCGAAATATTCAAAATCTTCAAAGCTATCACGGTAAAAATTGTTCATGGCCATATTTCTTACCATTATTATTCAACAATAACTTATAAACAGGTGTCTAAAACACTGTTATAGAAATCAACACTTTAAGGCCTTGGTGTGAATAGCTGGTAGACATTTTAATTAACAATAACCTTCACTTAGCCTATCATAGACTTTAACCTTTTGTTATCCCTAGTCCAGAACTAAAACAATACCCTAAACCTTACGCTGAACGTTACCCTAATTAATCCAAAACCCTAAACCCGAAATTCTTTACCTGATTGTTAGGCTACTACATAATTAAAGGACAGCTCTCTTATATTTTGTTACAGTTATCGACTGCAGTGTGCTCGTGAAGCTTCCAATACTTTTTTCTAACATTTTTAACATCACATTAGACTACACGTTAATCTTGGATAACCATGGGTTTCGGGGGTCATCTATGAAGGACGTTACGTTTAAATTGAACATTTTTATTTTTCACCTCCCCTCCCTACTGTCACACATCTTCATAAAAAGCCAGACCCCAAATTCAAAAAGACGTCACACCTCAGACAACGTGTTTTGTCTTTTAAAATAACCGATTTCGGCTGAGCATGTGTCTGACCACATTAACCCTTCATATGCTGAGGTCACAGCAACAGATAATCTCTATTTCACCTGCCCCGTGTTCCGCCAAGCATCAGACACTATGATTTTGTCTTTAAAATAATAATCATTAAAAAAGTTTTAAAAAACCCACGTTTTCTGATTGAACTAAAAAGTAGAAAATAAATACTATACATCACAATAATGCAAGCGATCACTCTACTATAAGCGATCAAAAACGTGGGTCGCCGAAGTAAAAGTTATATTACTATTGATTAGATAATACTATTGACTTTTATTAGGGAGCTTGTAGATAGTCAACAGTATTAGAAACTGTAAGAAAATCACGGCGCCCCACGTTTTTGATCGCTTATAGTAGAGTGATCGCTTGCATTATTGTGATGTATAGTATTTATTTTCTACTTTTTAGTTCAATCAGAAAACGTGTTTTTTTTTTAACTTTTTTAATGATTATTATTTTCTACTTTTTAGTGTTTGTCTGTTTGTTTGCATTAAAATCTTGCTATCGATTTTATCTTTTCACTTTTTTTTTGGGTAAACGAAGACAACTCGTAAAAAGACAACTCGTAAAAAGACAACTCGTAAAAAACACGTTGTGTGAATACGTTACTGACTAGAACACATAGATTTGAACCCATGTCGAGTGGGATAGCAATCGTGTGCCCAACCACTCGACCATATCGTCTCCCCCATACTGGCCACCAGTTGTTACGGTTGTTTGTACACAAACACCGCGTGAACACTACTCAGTAAGCAAAGAGGGAGAGTACCGAACCTTGTTTTCATCAAATTACAGTTACTGGGTTATGTCCCTTTTTCCCCACGTTTTTTGTACAATTATATAGCGGTCTAAAATGATCAATAAAATGTTTCCATGGATCAATTTAGTAATAAAAACAATAGAATATTCAATTGTCATCCAAAACAAAGCTTCCCTGAAAATTTTAGCGCGCTAGCTAACTGGGAAGTGCCAGAAATTTCGATCGCAAGATTTGATTGGAAAGACAAACAAACAGAGACGAAAGCAAGTTAAAGAAAACGTGGGAAAAAGATTTCGGCTGAGCATAGGTCTGACCACACTATCCCTTCATATGCTGAGGTCGCAGGTGAACTCTATTTTACCTGATGAACTCTACTTCCCCTGCCCCGTGCCCCGCCTGGGGTTATTCTGTATAGGGTACGATTCTTTTATTTTCTTCCTTTTTATTTATTTGTTACCAATACTTTTACCTTGCTGAGTGCGTTATACCATTATTAAATTAAATTCCTAATTATAAATATTTTATATATTTCTGGTCACAGATAGCAAAAATCTAAGAGGATGAGCTTTTCCAGGATCACCAATAGAACCATGTTCTCAATTATTGGATTTACGATCGTGTATTTTGCAATATTGTATCTTTTATATCGGTCAGTAAACAATAATTATTACTACGCACTTGTAAAAATATTATAACAATATGTAAATGTATTTTTTTTTTACTGTAGTTATTTTTTGTAAAAAAAATGATCTAGTACGAAACTGAGCAAAAGCAATTTTATCTTTTAAAATACCAGGAGCCAGTTGTCAAATTTTGCACCCGTGGCTACACCACTACAACAAAAAGACAAGATGCGTGGAGAGACCGATGTACACTTCTCTCTGGCGACTAAAGAAGAATTCTGGGACGATGGTCCGATATATATCTATGAAGCTTTTGCTCAACATTCCTACAAGACTTTAGAGACGTGTAACAATACGTGTGTTGAAGATAATCATTTGTGTAAAGCTAAAATTACAAGTGATTTCAATAGACTACTAGCAAAAGATTTGATTGTACCGAAACCGTTCCTTGCCAGAGGGCAGTATATTTTTGATTGGGAGAAAAAATATTTGAGTTATCCACCTTTGAACGATACAAAAACGCTGCCAGATTTGAAGTTGTCTAACGTGACAGTTGAAAACACAAGACAAGGTGTGGTCAGGTGTAAGATACTTGAAACTATACACGGTCGTCTGGATGTCGTGGATGGGTACGGGCGTCAGAGAACCAAGGGAGACGATGTGGTCAGGGTGTGGATGAAGGGCAGTAATTCAACTGGATATGCTGTAGTGGGTGATGTCTTGGATCTAAAAAATGGCAGCTATGTTTTCAATGTCAAATGTCTCTGGACTGGAGAATCTTCGGTAGAGTATTTGTTTTTCTAAATGATCAAAAAATACTTAATCAAAACTGTTACAGGGTATTTATATAGTAATTTTAAACAGTTTTTTTTATCAGAAAGTTAATTTTATATCATAGTTAATTTCACATTATATTCGCATTGCGTCTTTTCTTCGTATCAACTTTGGAATAAATTGGCTCTGTAGTAAAAGTAGGTAAAAGTGAGTAAAGTTTTGTTGTCTAGTTTCGACTCAAAACGGAATAAAAGCACAAAGAACCGTGTTAAATAAAAGCTTGGAAAACTGAACAGATTCAGCAATTGAATAAATCATAAAAGATTGCGATTTAAAATGATTCAATAGAAAGTGGCGAATTCGTAACATAAATTCTAATTTTTTTTCAAAAAATATTTCCAATAAATAACTTTTAAAAAGTAATTTTTATTCTCATTTTTAGTTAGTGCTTTACGCTAAAAGAGTTCATGCTGAACTAGAGTCTGTCGATTAAAAGTGTTTCCATCTTTACCTGGTATTTCACGTCGGAATCTTGTGATAAAATTATTCTAATCTTTAGCTTCACGTGGCCATCGCCTACCCGCGTGAATTCATCAGGACTGTTATCCACCAGGTTCACATTGGGGCAACAAGATTCATGACCGCCAGATTTAAAAAGAGAAACCGCGTGGAGGTAAACGCTGTCAAAAGCTACATTTTTCACTCACTTTTAACTTGCATTTGTTTTTTGACTATATATATATAAATATAATTATATGTATATATATGTTAACAATATTTATTATCTAATTTTTGTTAAAAGGACACCATTTGTTTTCAAACCCCAAACATACCGGGTTGGGAGTGTATCTGTAACTTCAGCAAGTTTGGTTATGAGAATTATTACTGTGGTAGACCGAGGAATAATCAGTAAGCTGTTGCACACACACTACACATACATACATTCTCTCTGTATGTATGTATGTATATATATATATATATATCAGGGGCGGAACTACAGTGCCGCCAGACCCCGCAATGCGGGGGGGGGGGGGCCCACGCCGTTTAGGGGCCCACAGCCGCCCATAATCTTTTTTTTATACTTAAAATTAATTTTCTTGCATTTTTGACCTGATGGTTGTTTTGAAAAAAGAATACTGTAGCTGCGGTTGGAGTATCTTTATTCTATAGACACCATCCCACGCTCTTGTATATTCTTTTTCCTACAATCAAACACACGCTGTTGTCGGCAAAATTCTTTTGAAAAAAAACATCAATGGCGCGAGAGGCCGCTAGATATTAAGACGGCTTTTTGAGACCATCCCAAATTTGGTACTGATGGATAAAAGCACATCGGTGCTTTTTTGTCCCTTTTAAGTTCCTTTCTCAGACCTCCCCTCCCGCTCTTAGCCTTACAAGAAGCGAATAGATAGCGCCTCAACAACTAAGCTGGCTCGTATCGGTGGTAGTGTAGGCAAACTAACGCTCCAACAACTAATATCCAAGAAATAAAGTGCCGACATTGTTTACGTTTAATGACCACTGTTCTAGAAAACAAGGCAAACGTCTCAAATAAATACAGTAGTGATAATATATAGTAGCTAAGACATGCTGTTGCGTAAAAAAAATTTTTTTTAAATATACACATTAGCTGTAGTGTGAAAGATAGGCAAACGCTCAAACCACTTCCATAAATTATTTCCCTTTTTCAAATAGTCAAATAGGGTTGCTCAAAAGCTCTTTTTAATAGATTTGTAATAATCAAATTAAACAGCAATTACTGGTCTTAATTATTATTTAAAAAAAATAAGTACTAAAGAATGGTATAGTATGAAAATAAAACGTAGTTAAAATTAATGATATAAATACAAAAAAACATAAAAATAAACATAACACGAGACACCATTACTTATACAAAGCTTCATGATTGATATACTTTTGACCGACTTAATGATTAGGGGTATTAAACATAAATGAAAACAAGAGATTTTCAAAACAGACCAATGCACTCATACACATGACATGGTGTTGTGATTAGATTTAATTGAATTTTTTTTTTCAAAACCCGATCAGGCCAGAAAGGAGTATCCTATGTTCGTATTGTGTTTATATATATATATATATATATATATATATATATATATATATATATATATATATATATATATATATATATATATATATATATATATGGGGGGGGCCCAAAAAATTTTTTTGCGGGGTGGCCCATATTTTCTAGTTCCGCCACTGATATATATATATATATATATATATATATATATATATATATATATATATATATATATATATATATATATATATATATATATATATATATATATATATATATATATATATATATATATATATATATATATTGTCAGTGAGATTATTTGTCCTTAGGGTATTTGTTCATGTTATTATTTGTGATAATTATTTGAGATAAATAATCTCGAATACATTGTCTGAGATAATTTGTCATGAGACCGTTCCACCCATCTGTTCATCTGTTTGTCCAAACTTTTTTGTGGTGTTTCCCTGTTTGTCCTTGACAGGGCTTTCCCATTTCTATAATTAAAATTTTTGTGAACAGTTTATCATGCGACGATTGGATAGAAGGTGGATACTTAGATGTATCCCCGCCCCATGACGTTACAGGCGCTGAAAGAAGTCTGATTAAGTCTATTTGCACGTAAGTTTTTTTTTTTAATCAATAAGATTTTATGAAAAAGGTTATTAACCCTTGACTTACGTGTAATCATCAACTTCTAACAAATAATTTAAAAGTTAACCATAACAATTATAATGTTAACTTACTATCTTCTAAAATATTTTACTTTGCAAAGTTTGCTATGTAATTCATGTTCTTGTCTTTCTTCATAATTGTAACAATTAAACATTTGAGTTAAACTTTACTACATTAATTTTGTTCTGGCTTTTGAAACCTCTTCCACAGTAAACCACCAGAGCGGACAGTTGCTCACAATTTTCAAATATCTACTGAAAATACAGGTACCCTCGTTGTGTTGTTTGACTGTTTACCTAAATCTAACTCCATATGTTATTTGACTACAGTTAACCTCAGCTTTGTTGACATGGGTTCATCCATACCAAGATCTTATTTTTATGAGATATTTTTTGTTTATATTATAATGTATTAAATTTGTTAGTTTTTTACATCAACAAACAAAAAATTCTTAAGAAAGCTTGTTAGGATACTATGTGGGAAATAGAAATTGATGATTACTGTTATTTGAAAGATCAACACTTCATAGAACACCACATCTTTGTTACGTATATCAATTATATTTTAGAATGAGCATTGCTTCTTACCCATAAATTTTCGGTACGTTATATTTAAGCGTACATGTATATATATATATATATATATATATATATATATATATATATATATATATATATATATACTAGCTGCATCCCGTGCTCCGCCACGGTAAATCTTTTTAAAATATACCAACTTTGGAACAGAACAAAACAAACAAAAACACAACACAAACAAAACACAACCACAACCACTACACAACCACATTACAACCACAACACAATCACAACACAACCACAACACAACCACAACCACAACACAACCACAAAACAACCACAACACAACCACAACCAGAACACAACCACAACCACAACCACAACACACGGTAAATCTTTTTTAAATGTACCAAGTTGGGAACAGAACAAAACTAAATACAACACAAACGAACGCAAAGAAAAAACAAAAACGAAAAAACAAACACAACACTCAACATAAACTCAATTTAAATGTAATCATAAAGGCATATTGCTCACAGTCTATCCCGTAGCGCCAAATCGCGCCCTTTCCGAGCGCCGGCGGAAAATTTCGATTTACACCCTCCCACCTCCCTCAAACTTTCGATTTCCACCCTACCTTCCCCCCCCCCCTCTTGCTACGCCTCGGTTATAAAACCCCTAGCTTTTCCGCAAATAAATTAAAGGCAGTATTTAGAATATCCGTGTTTTACCGACCATATTGCACTTTATAAATTCATGCATTTTTTTCAGTACTTTTAAAAATTTACAATAATTTACAATTTTCATGACTAAAACCATTGCGCACCTAATGAACGTGATGACTTAATATAATAATGGAGAATAGTTGATTAAAAATTATAAGTAGCAAACATTACATTCAGTGAACATAATAAATAAAAAATAGCCTTTTATCAATCAATGCTAATTATAATATTCCAACAATAATGTACTCTTACACGTCTGCATAATTTGCATTCACATTTTGCTAATTATATTATTCCAACAATTATTCCGTCTTGCAGATTTTGCATTCACATTTTTAGCGTGAGTTCAATTTATTTTTAAAATACCTCCCTTGGCAAAATTACTAAACAGTTTAATTAGATTTTTCTAACCTACAGTTATTATGTTATTAAAATGTATCCACTTTTTCTAGGAATATTAACGAAAACTATATTTGACATTGATCCTTTTAATATGTTTTAGTAATGTGCGTGTATTTAATATCCTCTTTACGTTATGCTAAATTGTACAAACAGTGGAAATTATAAAATAGCTCTATGCCGCTATATAAACAAACCCTACTCTAATACTTATAATAAGACACTGCGGTGCACTGAAAAGCACAGCATGGTGCGTAGTTTACTTTTATAGTCCCAAAATCTATAGCGATGACGGACGGACGGAAGGAAGGAAGGAAGGAAGGAAGGAAGGAAGGAAGGAAGGAAGGAAGGAAGGAAGGACAGACACAGCCCGCTTATATTATATATATATATATATATATATATATATATATATATATATATATATATATATATATATATATATATATATATTAACGTTATTGATTGTTAAAATGCATGTCTAGATCACAGACGTCGTTTGCTTTATATTTTGCAGATAACTTTCCAGAGTTACCCCCCTGTCACATGTCAAACAAAAATGTCACCTGGACAACAGCGATGCCTAAAGGCATTTGGACACCTGGCAATATCTGGAAGTCTCTGGTCTGTAAGGACGTAGGGGTCATCAATACAAGCTGGACATTAAAATGCCTCAGAAACACATCCGTCTGGATCTTCGGGGACTCAAATGCCAGGTTTACCTATGATGGGATTCTAGAGCTGACAAAATGTAACAAAACAGAAGGTGGATACCCATTGAGAGGAACATGCACCAAGCCTGAGACTGGACTCTCCATAAATGTATTTTGCCACGAAGGACCGGTGTATACATACTCACAAAGAAATGAAAATTATACCGGGATTCCAAGTTTTATACAGAAGCTCCCAAAAAACCAGAAACATATTCTTATCATTCAGTATTACCTCCACTACACGGCTGCCCATCTCGCTGTGCTGTCGTTACGTATGAAATCTCTGAGATCTGCCATAGAAAAACTGCTTGAAGAAAACCCCAACGTCTTGATAGGACTCAGAGGTCCTCACATTGCTTCTTTATATTACAATTACAACCATGCAATTGGAGGAGATCCTTTAGGACCCCGGTATATCCATATAATACGAGAAAGATTCAAAGGCCTAGAAGATAAAATCGTGTTCTTAGATTTGTGGGAAATGTCCATTGGAATAGAAAACTTTGATTATCATCCACCACAGTATGTCAATCTTGAGATGTTCAAGTTTTTGTTGTCTTTTCAGTGCAATTAGCCCGAAGGAAGATATTCCATACTCTAAAGGATCACATGGATGATAAGAGTTAAAACTTACAATTAATTATTTGGTTAAATTTGGACTATTTAGTTTGTTTTGTTTCATAATAATTATATATTTGCACTTAATAAAATTTCTTAAAATGAATCCTGTAAATAATGTATTATTATCCCCCTTGTATGTTGTATTTTAATCTAGCTATAAAACATGTAGGCTGACAGGCTCATTTTTAAAAATGTATTTGTTGTTAGACTTTAAGTTATCTTGGTCAGTTCTTACAGAAACAGCATGGAATGACAAAGTTTAGTAATATTTCATTCAAATTAAGTTGCTTTTTAATGGAAGCGGTAAAAATTGGTTGATCTATTTCTTCTTCATATTTTTTCCTAAATATATTCATGTCTGAGAATTCAAACAAGTTCAACTTCTTGGACGAAATGCGCTGTGGTCTCCAGATCTGTGGGCGGGGGGGGGGGGCACCCCTCACAGCTTTTCACTGAGTGGAGTATATTGAGGCCAGAATTTAGTCCGCGTCTTATTGTACACGTACCAGTACTGTAGGACGTACTGTGTGTTCTTTGGGTTACGCCACCAGGGCCAGATTCGTCTGCACCAGCTTATAATTTCTTTAAACATGTTGATCCGATTTAATAGCTCATTGAATTCGACAATTATACAAACAGACAAACATAGCTATTTATTATATTATTAGCTGCACAACGCCTCACAAACCCCTCTCTCGAAGTCCACACTTAACCATACTCCTCGCCCTTTTTACACACAAATTCTGCGCCTCCTCCACCCCCTTTTAACATGGCACTTACCTACTACGTCAAATAAATTGTTTCAAAAGACTTATTTATTTGCTTTCTTGCTTTTTCTCAGACTATTCTATTTCTATCGATATTTGTGTTTGAGTTTTTTCTGACCCACTCAACAGTCCTTAAAATATTCTCTAAGCGCAATGCAAATGAATTACTTTTGTACCTAGACCAACACCTTATTTTTACTTTCTCGTATATACGAAGTAGGTGCCTATAGAGAAAGTCTTGTAATCGTGCAATAAAAATAACTGATGCGGAAAAACATAATTTAGCAATCTTGTCCGTATGTCTGTGTGTGTGTCTGTGTGTGTGTGTGAGTGTGTAAACAGGATAATTTGAGTACCTTTACAGCAAGGTTGATGAAATTTCATATATAGTATTTTATCAAAATCGTAGATCCTGAACAACTTTTGAGCAATTTCCGATAACCGGAAGTTGTACTTTTTCTACTTTGAATATTTTTCAAAAGTCTATAACGTGAGTACTATTTCAGATAGATAAATGAAATTTCACATGTAAGTAAAAGATCTGATTTTCTACCTTCTGTCAAATTATGAGTAATTTCCGTTGACCTGAAGTACTAATTTACGCTATTTCCAATTTCTCAAAAAACGCATGTAAATTTATAAAGTACTAATAATATTGCGCACTATTATGCACATTTTGTTTTGGCGTTTGCTTGGTGCGCAATTCTTTTTTCTATGAGTTTCTATTCTATTTTTAAAAGTTTAAGTAATTAAAAATCATGTCTACATTCCAAGTTATATAAGAATTTTCGAGAAAGTTTATGGGAGATCACTCCCGGTTTAGTTACACACAAACTCCGCCCCTGCCCCGTTTTTAACATTGCAATTACCTACTACGTCAAATAACACATTGTTAAACAAGAACTTGTTCGTTGTTTCCTTGAATTTTCTCTAACTATTCTTTGGGTATTTGTGTTTGAGTTTTTCCGCCATCCATCCCACCCTCTCAATTCCACAGCCCTATAAACGTTCCCCGAGCGTAGTGAGAATCTGTGACTTGTGTGTAAGCGCTTTCTCTTTTAGAAGCCGTTGATTTTTCCTGGAGTTTTTGCGTTGCTTGTTGTGAACATGTTAGGCAGAGGCAAGTAATGGAAAATGTATTATTTAACACCGTTTATGGAACAATATTTAACACCGTTCATAGAACAATACATAAACACAGCAATAAAATCACATCAATTTCTTTCAACCAGAGTTGCGCACCAACTCTAGTCATAAACGCACTCTTTGGCATGTAGTGTAAAAACATAAAACGCCAAAGGTATGAGAAAATTTATTGTTTTCCACAGCAGTTAGAACAATAATACATGCAGACAGTCGGGTAATAAATGTATTCGTATTCCCACAAGTAGTACTAACGCTGCATTTTATTGACACAATATAAATCACTGTTTTTAATGCTATGTAGTCTAATTAAGGTAGGAGCCTTTCTTTTTTACAAGCTTTTATTTAACTTGCTTTCTGTTTCTCTCTATTTTCAAGTATTTTCCTATCGACAAAATTTTCGGGCACTTCTAACCGATCAATTTCTCTGAA